GATTATATTATTGAACATACAAACTGAATTAATCGATCGATCGATTAATTTATTGATAATATAGTTGATTGATTGATTGATTTATCTATAGATCGACTGACAGTACTCACCAACAATACGGTCAGAATACCAAAACACGCCATGCACATTGCAATAACCTCTTGTCTGTTATCTTCTGAAGATTCGTCATAGTGATGTATTGCATAAGTAAAAGGCATGGATGTGAGAGAACATGCAAACACCTGAAATAATCATTTACAAAATAAACTATGGTAATTATTCATCAGTGATACATACAATTATTCTGAGCTCACTCACATGAATGGTCAATCAACATGTTAGATAATGATATCTCATAAATAAAACTGAAAAAAAAAATTACTTAGACAAAGTTTTAGACAAATTACATCACATATAACGTATCAATTAAAGTAAAACAAGTCATTGTCAATGACATAGTCCCCGTTCAGTTTTTTAGTGAATGTGTTTATTAAAAACAACGAAAGTTGTTAGATTATATAGAAATCTAGAGGTAGAATTTACCACGTTAACAATATAGTGTTTGAATGGGACCATGTCCAGGTTTTTTTCAGTCAGTCTGAGCGAAAACTCCAAGAATTGGGATTCCCGCATCCTACAAACTTGTATAATCCACACATGAACCAGTTGGACAGACTAAGCCATCCTGTGTTGTCCGTGCTACGTTTGAATGAAATATGCATAATCATGGCTAGAAACATGCGAGACAAAAGTGTGGGACGAACGTGGCCATGCACTATTCGGTCAAAAATGATCAAAATAACTAGAGACAACATTCAACCTACAATGTATGTTATCCTCCAGGTAAAGGGTTAAGAATGAGGTGAAAAAAATGCATCGCTTAAAGGGCGGTAGTTGTCGCGCCACGCATGCGCGAGATATATGTGTTTCATATAATCAAAGATGGCAACTTTGATTATTGCGCAGATCAACGTGTACAAACTGAGACGTTACCAAGCTTTAATTAGGTATTTTTTGGGTGATTGGAAAGAACGGAAGGGGTCACTGGCGATAATCAGTGCAAGTCGCCACCAGGTCAAACCTCATACTTGTTACTTCCATTAGGAAGAGCGCATTGGATTGTGGGAAAATCAATGTTTATCAACACAAATGTCGCACATGCGCAGCGCGACGACCGCCGCATTTTAACATGTTCATGCCCCCCCCCCCCCAAAAAAAAAAACACACATACACACACTTACGAGCATTTCAAATGATTCACTTCTAAACAGAAGTGTTAAAAGATAGCGAGCTACAGATTGGCCTGCTTTCTGCAGGAATCATCTCAGGAAATTAACAATGTCAGCATTATAGCGTAGTATGTAAGTATTGTCTACAGTCATGCGGAGTACACAAGCAAAACCGGAAATTTCTGCTTGGACCTACATTTATTTTCTGTAAATTTCACAGAATAAGTTTTCAAAACTTTTCAAATTGGTGTTAGTTTATAATAAACGCAGTTTTATCAAATTGCTTCCGGTTTTTTTTTTTCGTGAGAATCGTGTGCGGATATCGAACCCACTTACCAAAGGTAAATGCATGATGGCAATGGTTCTGGCGGCGCTGTCATCGGTAAAACAGGCACATACCAGTATAGCTATTGTTGTAGCCAACCAGAAGCCTCCTATAACCGGTGTGTAAATGTGCCGCGGTCTTTGTCTGCAGTCACACTTCATCGTGTCTGTACGGGCACTACTACCGGAGAATACTAGTACATTGATGTATTTAAGTAAACCAATTCTCCGGGAACTCACAGCGAGATATATCTGCAAGTTATTCATATATGGACGACCGACACTACCAGTAGTGACACGGTTATAGTCATGACATTGCTGTTCTGTGGAGAAAAAAAAAACACATAACGTTTCAATGAAAGAGATCGAGCAGTTCAAAAACCATACTCGGGTAATCTCCATATATTTAGTGACCTGAATTTTACACCTGTGCCTGATCTATGATCGTTGAATATATAATCGTACTTTGTACTGTACGCCTATCAATAAGGAAATGTATTTGAACAAAAAATATCGAATTAATAAATTGTAGGTGTATCCGTTATTATAGGACTGGAAACTACACAACAAAGTTGTATTCAAGTCTTCATCGCAACAAACCACATCTTCAAGCGTGGCATGTTTTATATATAGGTCATATATTTTTTTACGCCGGGACAATTACGTTAAAACAGCAACGTGTGTGGGCGATCTATGTAACATAGACAGGACTCGTCGTTTCAGTTTAATTCAATTGGTGATTTTTAAAATTTACAAATGTATAGAGTACTAAATAGAACTAAATATTATGTGTGATGTCCATTGAAACAGTTGCCTAGCAACATAAACACTGATCCATGGTTACCAGTTGAACACACAAACTGAAATCACCTTGAATACAAATATTACGCTAGATTTGTTGTCATGTAATTTCCCATACTCATTCATATTATCAATATAACAATTATTAGATATATTATAATTAATATTCGCTTAGATTTAAGGTATCCTACCTTGGACTCCTGCTTCGTTTGACATAAATACCACTTGTGTACTTTAATCAATTGACCCTTGACCTCCGGTGTGAGGAACGGACATCATGGAATGTTTTGTTTGTTTGGTAGTTAACACAATATAAATGTTTAACTCCTGAATTATGTTGCATATATATAGTCACATTGGTGTTGTCGTCATTTGCTAAGATACATACGTATGTGAATGAAATGTTTCAATACATCCAGACAGTCAGTCCTTCATTTAAAGCGGGTGAGTCGTCACATACGCATGCGTCAGATGGCCATAACGTGTCATTGTTTACAAACAAGCGTCTACCCATGAGCCTTTACGTTTTTAGCATGTGTTGTTATGGTTGCTTGGGACTCAATTCCCGCGCGTGCACAGGTGGCATTTTAACAGTGTGGTTCGACAATTATAGCGGGGGGGGGGTCGTCACCTGCGCATACGCAGGAATAATAACATTCCTGGTCGTTGATTTCCACGGCCATAACACTCGCTGAGTTAGGAATATTTTGAAATTCGCTCACTCATTTATATGCCATAAAAATATTTTGTCCCGTGTTTAAGTTTGCAACACAATACGGCTGATCTGCACTGGCTCGGAAGATGAATTCTGATTGGCTAAAAAAACAAAAAAACTTGTGGCGTTGAATGCACGTTCATTGTCAGTATTGTTATGCAAATTCAAACTAGCTAATCATTTACAACCTTCCGAGCCAGTGCAGATTAGCCCACACAATATCGGTTTCTCATCAACGTTGCGCAACGAATCACGGGAACATGATTTTGAACAAATTTTGCTTACTGAAGATACACCTGTCGACTAAATCAGTGAGCGACAAGGCATGTATGCCTTGTCAATCACGACTCATCGGGACAACAGCAGCTGTCGGGTATGTGCGCCGATATTACCCCCTACCACGTCAGATATACAGTTTTTTTTAATCAACGGCGGTCGATAAAGCCATTGGGTCTTGGATGAGAAGTGTCCTCTCTCACACTACGTCTTTCGTCATGAGTTGGCTATAAGCCCATATAACAACACGTCGACTATATATTTGCTGGAGTGTTGTTTGTAGTGAATAAAATATGTATTGCAAACTTCCAATAAATACAGTAGATATACATGTCATAATCCTAGTTAATCAACTATAGACGTTAATGATTATCTATCGTCAGATAAAGCTATACGTCAATACAGCTTAAATACATCGTCGTTGACTGTGTACCTGGGTTTAGTATCCGTGACTGTTACGCTAGTGTATTATTACAGAGCTTTAAAGGTAAATGCGCCCTTCCATTCCCTCCTACGCGAATTGTTATTTGTTAGATTGGATTTAATGCGTGTCGCGGATCTTGCTTCGCAAGTGATTATTTATAAAATAGGTCTCGGCCATGTTGAATATTATTGAACGTCTCAACATGTATTTCGTGCAGTATAACATAACTGTAAGCACACTGAATGTAGTTGTTCAATGTCTAAGAATTGCGCGCCTGAACTACCGAGCAGACTATAGTTTTAGAGTTGTTTATATTCAACGACCATTAATGACCGTCGTCGCCATTTATGCCGTTCTAACAGATTGACAATTAATAAATAACTTTTAGTAAAATAATAATGGGTGTGACATTATCCGTTATATATACGAATGGCTAACTATGTGTGAAGGGGTAAACTCTTCTGGACAAGTCAGCGTTAATTTCTCCTCTAATAACACGTCATAACATCGTGTTTTCACGGAGGATTTGCTACTAAAACACAACGTTAATTGTGACCTTTGCATACGTTAGGATGAACTTGCTACAGCAAATATACCAAGCGTTGCCATATGTGTGTATGTAGATATCAAACTGGCAGTTTGTATATATTTTTGTATCTTATTTTAACCAGTATTTTTCAGCTCATGAAAAACTACCCTTCGATAGATTGATATAATATGAGGTTATTACGAGGATACCTCAAAGTATGCACGAAGACAGTACAGCTGGAGTATCGACCGACGCGCAGTGGAGGTCGATGCGCGTCGTACTGTCTGAGTGCATACATTGAGGTATGCTCGAAATAACCTTATTATTATACATCTTTTACTTCCAAGGATACATCATGGGAATGCCGAAATCCAAAAGTTTAGAACAGAATCAGCGAACTTCATTGTGTGGAGTCCGATCAAACCCCGTTGGCAGCCATGTTTGTTTTTATTATTAGTGGGCGCTTACGCGCGTAATCACTCCATATTTGGAATTCGCGTTTCCTTATATGGTAGAATGAAAATATTCCGTAACATACCGCAAAATTACGGCACGCTTTAACTTATGGCGTTACGGTGACAGATGTATAATAATATAATATATATTCTAGTCTATATCACCATAAATTTATAAATCTGCGGTCTTATGACTGTTCACTAATCAGTACCATACTGCCCAGTTCATTTGTAGAGCACCGGCGCCATGACAACCCAGCAGCAGGCCTACCCGCCTCCTTACCAGTACGCATCGAATACACAAGTGCCACCCAATTTATATAATGACGGTTCCCATCCACAACCTATACCAGGTCAGGCGTGGATCCAACCGATGCAAGGTACATATAGTCTGTGTAAATTCATGAATCACCACTTGTAATTAAATCGTATTGACCAGTTATTTAGACATTGTATATCATCATCGTTTTACAACATCGTGTTGGTCAACAACAACACGAGACTGTGAAATTTTTCGAAGGGAATTTTAAAATTGAGCGTTACTTAGTCGGAAAAAATCAAATGCCTAAGAAATGTATATTAATTGTTATAAATTACTATTGTTTCTTCTTATGTTGTTGAACGATGTGATACGCGAAGCCATGGGTGTTCCCAGGTTCTGTGCTCTTCTGCTTGCATCTGCTGTTTAGCGATGTTTCCTGACACGGAAATGCTGTTGTATATTTCTCCGTTATAGTAGTGTTGAATACAATTAAAAACTGTACAATAATATTTTTAAAATGTTACTGCACATCTGACTCTGTATTACTATAAACCATTTTACACAGTTGACATATTATGTATGTTGAATCTTTTATAGTCTTCCAGATGAGAAAATATAAAAGATTTTACTGGCTGAATAAAAATAAAGCACTGAATACGTTTGAACATCTGATATTGGATTTGACATTGATATTATATTTTTTTTATATTCTCTGCATATTAAATGAATAAGCTCTGAAAATGCTTAAACAAATTTGATTTGACTTTATTATTATAATATTTTATTAATATTTGTCATAATTAATATACGATAAGGATATTATAATTAGGTTTTTATTATTAGCGATACTTCATAATTATTTTTTTTAATTCCAGCTTACCCAGCTCCAGAGCAACAACCGTTAGATCACCCTGGGGGAAGCAGTTACAATGAAACACACGCGGAAGAAGGTGGTGGAGGTGGTGGATTCACCACGGCCGAACGATTCTCAGACAAGAACATTCGAAGAACGTTCATCAAAAAGGTATTTCAAAGTTCATCCTGATATTTAGATGTGAAACAAGATTTAAGTGTAGTAAGCCTAAGTATGTCACGTACTTGGGGGGGGGGGGGTCACGCGCTGATAACTTGTTATAAATACGTCATTGTTTCATTGAGAAAACGCAATTATCCAACGTAAGTATCACAATATATGTTTCATTATAAGTTGCGGCCTCTTGCGACTAAGCGCTTGTGTTCGAGCTACGTATGTTTGCTTGTGTAGTCGTTCCTCCATTATAATTTAGCATGCTTCTAAAAAAAATATACAATTTTGCTTTAAATAATAAATACATTTTTGAAATGTTATCAAAATAGCATGTTACTGAACATATGTGTTGGCCCTACTAGTGCGGCAATTTTGAGCGCTAAAATGGTCAAAATTTAACAATTTGCAATTAAGGTTCATTTTTTTCTGACTTTCATAATCGATTCAAACGAAACAATTCATGTTCTACCTGTGCAACCAGACCTTCCCGAGTGATGTATTTCTTGGTATTGTTAAACAAATATGATTGTAAATCAACAACATACAATTTGTTAGATGGAGACTCGTACGTAATCACTATTAATATATAAATGTATGTTTTCTCTAGGTATACATCGTGTTGACTATCCAACTTATGTTTACATTTGCCATTGTCTGTGTATTTTCGTTTGTGTAAGTATTACCACGTAAATCTCTCGAATACAATTCACACGTTTAAAGCGCGGTGGTCGTCGCGCAGCGCGTGTTCGAATTTCATGTAAATAAACAATGTATTTTACACGCGTTGTATACATCGCTATGAGTCCCATATCGAACAGGACGCGGCGCGACGCCCTTTAATATTAGAGATATACTTTGATATACTGGTTCGAGGCAAATAACGGTAAGCATGTTTAAAACTTGTGTTCGATATTGATCATGAATATTGAGCATCATTATCATGTCGGGAGGCAATATCGAAAACAAATATTTAAACGTAATAAAAAACTATCACAAAGTCATTTATATGATTGTCTCTTCAAATTTACTCGTAAACTGTAAAACTATGTTTTACTTTCTAGCGACGAGGTCAAACAATGGGTTCAAGAGAATTCGGCATTTTACTTTGCATCGTAGTAAGTAAATGTTACATACATATTTAAGGGACTTTGTTTTTTAGCGTATGTATGAATGTTACATATTGAGACAATCCCGATAAGGCAGGAGGGGGTGAGTGTTATGTGTATAACAAAAAAATGATCTGATTTGCTTGATGTTCAATCTTTGGTGTTACTGTTCACGAGAAGAAAGAAAAATATATTCCCATCGAACAAATTTTCGTACAAAACACAGGTCAACATCCATGAAAATATTGGTTACTATTGGTTCTTGTGGTAACAAGTTCTCACCGTATTGTGTTTTGTTGCGTGTGAAGAAAAAATCATATATAGTTCTAAGATGGGTACTTATTGTAGTCAATAATTATCAGTGCATTCTGATGATTACTATTCATGTTCAATGAAATAATGTTCTGACATGGCTACCTATGAAAATTGTTTTGTTATATAGACATTTATTTCTCAAAACTAGTATGTCTTTCTGTGGGAACAAAAACGAAAAGTTGACGACACATCTGAAAATCAATAATTAAATGATTCGTTTGATACGCAAAATTTGAGACTTTTTTTTCACCCATGTGTTTAGGCTGAAAGCACGCGTTCAAATAGTATAATGACTGTGGTAAAACGCTGCACAAAAAGGAGGGGAACTTTTTTTCAAAATTTGAAAAATACTAGTCAACATCAAGGGTTCCGGTCGATGCGGCGATGTCTATATTTTTTTTGTATTTTTTTTTGTAATATTCTTTTGTAATGAAATACAATTATATTCTTTTTTCAGTGCTGTATTTCTGATTGTATTTCTATCGTTAGCATGTATCGATTCGCTGCGACGTAAGCACCCATTAAACATCATTATGCTCGGAGTCTTGGTAAGTGAGGATAAAACATCGTAAGTACGTCACATATAACAATCAGGTCGGGCTTCTCGTTGAAATCAAAGAACGAACGTCCCTTGCTCCTGACAGTGTGTAGGAAAATCTCTCGAAGTTATTTTCGACTCGAGAGAACGCTGTTTTTAGCTGTTTGTTTAGAAGACAATTCCTCCAATGCCATACTGCTTTTTTACCAAACGCTTCAGCGTGGTATTAAGAGTTTGTTTTCAGGGGTGGGTGATACCAAGGTGGGAAATGGATGCACATATGGGGTTAATTCCTTGAATTGCAATATAGAGGGTTCAAGCTGAAATACAATATATAGTGTTTTCATGTTTCGTCTGATATTTCTGTTGTATTCTGCTGCTGTAAGTAATGCACGATTTGTTCCGAAATTCAGTATATTGTGTGTATTCCAGGGTTATTCGTTTTTTGCTGAAAACACCCCTATTTTTTTAGTGACATAGTCGAATAGTCTCACTCCCACTGGGAAATCTGCATTGTTGCTTGAATGTGAGTTAATTAAACACATTTTCCAGACCGGCGAAAGAGTATACAACAGCCAATTTTAACAGCCTGTCACGTGATTTTAGTCTGAATGTCAACATGAAGAGGCTAGTCCATTTTACGCAGAGTAATTGGGAGTAGATATGTGAGGGATAGTATCAACAGAGATGTGTATAGTGAAAAGTAATATCTAT